TCCAGCAAATCCAGGCAACCTGCACTGGTGCTTTTGCTGCCATTCTTGAATCCGGGGCTGTTGTGACCTGGGGTGATCCAAAAGGTGGCGGGGACAGCAGCGAGGTGCAAGAGCAGCTCAGGAACGTCCAGCACATCCAAGCAACTGGCCGTGCTTTCGCCGCCATTCTTTAATCTGGGACTGTTGTGTCCTGGGGGTGAGCCAGGCTTTGGCGGAGACAGCAGCGAGGTGCAAGAACAGCTCAGGAGCGTCCAGCACGTCCAGGCAACTTTCTATTCTTTTGCTGCCACTCTGGAATCCGGTGGCGTTGTGACCTGGGGTGATCCAGACAATGGCGGAGACAGCAGCGAGGTGCAGGAGCAGCTCAGGAGCGTCCAGCACATCCAAGCAAATGGCAGTGGTTCTTTTGCAGCAATTCTTGAATCTGGGGCTGTTGTGACCTGGGGTGATCCAGACATTGGCGGAGACAGCAGCGAGGTGCAAGAGCAGCTGAGGAACGTTCAACACATCCAAGCAACTTGCGGTGCTTTTGCTGCCATTCTTGAATCTGGGGCCGTGGTGACCTGGGGTGCTCCGACAAGTGGCGGAGACAGCAGCGAGGTGCAAGAGCAGCTGAGGAACGTTCAGCACATCCAAGCAACTGACTCTGCGTTTGCTGCCATTCTTCAATCTGGGGCTGTCATGACCTGGGGAGATCCAGACTGTGGCGCAGACAGTAGCCAGGTGCAAGAGCAGCTGAGCTCGATTGGTCTGTTGTAGAACGGACGACTCAAATGAGCGGCTGGCTGAAATGCAGCTCGAAGTGTTTCTTGGCTGAAACCACTCGTACCCAATAGGAAAAAACTGCGAGCAGCTGTTGGAGGTTCGCCAATGTAAAGGCAAACCCATGTTGCGCACGACCATTTCCACTGAGAACATTGGCGGCTTCGGCATAGTGCTAGGGGCCCCGGTTTTTTCCTGTTGGGGGGGATATGTTTCTGTTTTTCTCCGGGCTGGCATTTTGGCTTTCGTGGCTTTGGTTCAAGAGCCATGAGAGATTCGAACCTTCACAATGAGTGGATTTCTGAAAGACCAATTCCATAGCATGTTTTTGTGTCTCAGGCTCCTGTTTGGCAGCTTGAAATTTCCCAGAAGAACCTTCCTGCGCCATGAAGGTGAATGTTTACTTGCCTAGTGGAGATGGCTGCTGCATAGAAGTCTCACCGGAGTGGTCCATCAGCAAGCTGAAGGCTGCAGCGCAGCAGCATTTCCAGCGCCCATTGAAGCTCACCGCAAAAGGCCGGCAGCTCGACTTGACGGCCACGCTGGGCGAAGCAGGATTGACAGATGGGGACGTAGTGGCTGCAGTGGTGCAGCTTGGCAAACTGGCTGCGAGCACTGGCGCGTTTGCTTTGCATGGCCACGGGGGCGAGGTTGTGACCTGGGGTGATTCAGAATATGGCGGAGACTGCAGCGGGGTGCAAGAGCAGCTGAAGAGCGTACAGCACATCCAAGCAACCGTCGAGGGTTGTTTCGCTGCCATTCTTGAATCTGGGACTGTCGCGACCTGGGGTGATCCAGGAGGTGGCGGAGACAGCAGCGAGGTGCAAGAGCAGCTCAGGACCGTCCAGTGCATCCAAGCAACTCACGGTGCTTTTGCTGCAATTCTGGAATCTGGCACTGTTGTGTCCTGGGGTGAACCAGAACGTGGCGGAGACAGCAGCCAAGTGCAAGAGCAGCTCAGAAACGTCCAGCACATCCAAGCAACTCAGGCTGCTTTCGCTGCCATTCTTGAATCCGGGGCTGTTGTGACCTGGGGTGATCCAGACGGTGGCGGAGACAGCAGCGAGGTGCAAGAGCAGCTCAAGAGCGTCCAGCAAATCCAGGCAACCTCAACTGGTGCTTTTGCTGCCATTCTTGAATCCGGGGCTGTTGTGACCTGGGGTGATCCAAAAGGTGGCGGGGACAGCAGCGAGGTGCAAGAGCAGCTCAGGAACGTCCAGCACATCCAAGCAACTGGCCGTGCTTTCGCCGCCATTCTTGAATCTGGGACTGTTGTGTCCTGGGGTGAGCCAGGCTTTGGCGGAGACAGCAGCGAGGTGCAAGAACAGCTCAGGAGCGTCCAGCACATCCAGGCAACTTTCTATTCTTTTGCTGCCACTCTGGAATCCGGGGCTGTTGTGACCTGGGGTCATCCAGGCAACGGCGGAGACAGCAGCCAGGTGCAAGAGCAGCTCAGGAGCGTCCAGCACATCCAAGCAAATCGCAGTGGTTCTTTTGCAGCAATTCTTGAATCCGGGGCTGTTGTGACCTGGGGTGATCCAAAAGGTGGCGGGGACAGCAGCGAGGTGCAAGAGCAGCTGAGGAACGTTCAACACATCCAAGCAACTTGCGGTGCTTTTGCTGCCATTCTTGAATCCGGTGGCGTGGTGACCTGGGGTGATCCAGACAACGGCGGAGACAGCAGCCAGGTGCAAGAGCAGCTCAGGAGCGTTCAGCACATCCAAGCAACTGACACTGCGTTTGCTGCCATTCTTCAATCTGGGGCTGTCATGACCTGGGGAGACTGTGGCGCAGACAGTAGCCAGGTGCAAGAGCAGCTGAGCTCGATTGGTCTGTTGTAGAACGGACGACTCAAATGAGCGGCTGGCTGAAATGCAGCTCGAAGTGTTTCTTGGCTGAAACCACTCGTACCCAATAGAAAAAAACTGCGAGCAGCTGTTGGAGGTTCGCCAATGTAAAGGCAAACCCATGTTGCGCACGACCATTTCCACTGAGAACATTGGCGGCTTCGGCATAGTGCTAGGGGGCCCGGTTTTTTCCAGTTGGGGGGATATGTTTCTGTTTTTCTCCGGGCTGGCATTTTGGCTTTCGTGGCTTTGGTTCAAGAGCCATGAGAGATTCGAACCTTCACAATGAGTGGACTTCTGATAGACCAATTCCATAGCATGTTTTTGTGTCTCAGGCTCCTGTTTGGCAGCTTGAAATTTCCCAGAAGAACCTGCGCCATGAAGGTGAATGTTTACTTGCCTAGTGGAGATGGCTGCTGCATAGAAGTCTCACCGGAGTGGTCCATCAGCAAGCTGAAGGCTGCAGCGCAGCAGCATTTCCGGCGCCCATTGAAGCTCACCGCGAAAGGCCGGCAGCTCAACTTGATGGCCACGCTGGGCGAAGCAGGATTGACAGATGGGGACGTAGTGGCTGCAGTGGTGCAGCTTGGCAAACTGGCTGCGAGCTCTGGCGCGTTTGCTTTGCATGGCCACGGGGGCGAGGTTGTGACCTGGGGTGATTCAGAATATGGCGGAGACTGCAGCGGGGTGCAAGAGCAGCTGAAGAGCGTACAGCACATCCAAGCAACCGTCGAGGGTTGTTTCGCTGCCATTCTTGAATCTGGGGCTGTCGCGACCTGGGGTGATCCAGAAGGTGGCGGAGACAGCAGCGAGGTGCAAGAGCAGCTCAGGACCGTCCAGTGCATCCAAGCAACGCAATGTGCTTTTGCTGCCATTCTGGAATCTGGGGCCGTGGTGACCTGGGGTGCTCCGACAAGTGGCGGAGACAGCAGCGAGGTGCAAGAGCAGCTGAGGAACGTCCAGCACATCCAAGCAACTGACTCTGCGTTTGCTGCCATTCTTGAATCCGGGGCTGTTGTGACCTGGGGTGATCCACAACGTGGCGGAGACAGCAGCGAGGTGCAAGAGCAGCTCAAGAGCGTCCAGCAAATCCAGGCAACCTGCACTGGTGCTTTTGCTGCCATTCTTGAATCCGGGGCTGTTGTGACCTGGGGTGATCCAAAAGGTGGCGGGGACAGCAGCGAGGTGCAAGAGCAGCTCAGGAACGTCCAGCACATCCAAGCAACTGGCCGTGCTTTCGCCGCCATTCTTGAATCTGGGACTGTTGTGTCCTGGGGTGAGCCAGGCTTTGGCGGAGACAGCAGCGAGGTGCAAGAACAGCTCAGGAGCGTCCAGCACATCCAGGCAACTTTCTATTCTTTTGCTGCCACTCTGGAATCCGGTGGCGTTGTGACCTGGGGTGATCCAGACAACGGCGGAGACAGCAGCCAGGTGCAAGAGCAGCTCAGGAGCGTCCAGCACATCCAAGCAAATGGCAGTGGTTCTTTTGCAGCAATTCTTGAATCTGGGGCTGTTGTGACCTGGGGTGATCCAGACATTGGCGGAGACAGCAGCGAGGTGCAAGAGCAGCTGAGGAACGTTCAACACATCCAAGCAACTTGCGGTGCTTTTGCTGCCATTCTTGAATCTGGGGCCGTGGTGACCTGGGGTGCTCCGACAAGTGGCGGAGACAGCAGCGAGGTGCAAGAGCAGCTGAGGAACGTTCAGCACATCCAAGCAACTGACTCTGCGTTTGCTGCCATTCTTCAATCTGGGGCTGTCATGACCTGGGGAGATCCAGACTGTGGCGCAGACAGTAGCCAGGTGCAAGAGCAGCTGAGCTCGATTGGTCTGTTGTAGAACGGACGACTCAAATGAGCGGCTGGCTGAAATGCAGCTCGAAGTGTTTCTTGGCTGAAACCACTCGTACCCAATAGAAAAAAGCTGCGAGCAGCCAAGGAGGTACCTGAAAGATTCATGTCCTTTTGAGAGGACCCCTGTCAGTTGCTATTTTAGTTGGAGGGCCTAGAAACCGCCAATTCCTTGTCTCCCTTCCGACCACCAGCTCTCAGCTAGACACCCCCTCACCCCCCACTCGATGGGAAACCGATGGCTTAGACCTCTTGAAAAGGTCACAAAAAAGCGGCCAAGCCGCTCCGAGCCGAGCCGTGCCTTTCGAAGACCTTAGACCCTTCGGAAAACTCCGGGCTTGTTACTTGGTGGCTCTCTTAGCCATGCGGTTCCAAAGGCTTCTTAATGCCTTTGAGTGCTTTTGGTTGGTTGGATTTGCTGTTTTTTTAAGCCGCTAAAAGTGAGTCACTTTGAGCGGGGGATCTGAAAACGGACGGCCCAGTTTTTTTCGACCGGAAATCCACTTGCACCCATCGAGTCGGACTGATTCCACTTGCAAAGGTCCTGCGGGGGAAGCGGACCTTCATTGGCAGCCTGGCCAGGAGATTAAAGAGGATGTTTTTTGTTTCTTTTTTTTTTTGGGGGGGGGGGGGGGGTTGGGGGGTACCAACAAAGTGTTGGTTTTCTTTCTGGGGGGTACCCACAAAAGTGCTGGTTTTATTTTTGAGCGGGTACCTACAAAAGTGGTGGTTTTCTTTCTGGGGGGTACCCACGAAAAGTGTATTTTTTTCTTTTTCGGGGGTAGCCACAAAATGTGGCAATGGATTTGATCCCTGTGTAGCTGGTTTGTCCCTTTGTTGCCCACTGGCGCCGTTTCCTTTTTTTTGGGAAGGATTCCCCTTTAACAGGGCTCCGAAAAGGAAAAAACAAACAACAACAAGATCTCCATGTTGCCACCAATTGAAACATGTTGCTTTTTCCACACCGAAGGAAAGGGAACCCGTACCATGTACAAGTTGCAAAGTTCAGGTGTATAATGTAAGGATCCCCCTTTAAACTCAACCAACCCAAAAAAGAGGCCGGTTTTTCACGGGATGCTATAGCAAGCATATAGCTTACCCACAAGCAAATATCATAGACTCCCCCCTATGGTTTTCACCCCATTTAATAACTGCCCCCCAAATCAACCATACCAAAACCATAACGAGCTTAGGGGTAAGACCCTCATAGAAAAACCCCACCAAACAACAAACCAAACAAAAAACCTAGGAACATTTAAAACATTTTAAAAAATAGTTTTAGCAACATTTTAAAACAGCACCCCAAACAGCACATTTCAAAAATCAACATTTCAAAGCAGGTAATTTCCTAGTAAGTTCATCCATATTTTAAAATATAAATTTTAAAATATAAATTTTAGAAAATATAGTTTTACAAAATTTTCAAAAAATATTATTCCAAAAATTATGATAAATTGTTTTACAATGAATTGTATCACAAATTTTGTAGACATATTATGGGCAAGGTCTGGTTCAATCGTTTTTTTTTTTTTTTTTTTAATTAATCAAATCTTCTTCTAAACATTCTATATTTATACAATATGTTAAAATCAACTGCATCTAATTTTTCTTTGCTACAAACCCATCTGTTGCCATTCTTTTTCATTTCGATTAACCATTCAAATTCTCTAAAGCTTAAATACCACCAATTGGATGTATTTTGACTGTATGAATAGTTTCCAGCATTTCTAATTATTTGTTGGTTGTTGGTTTGTTCCATATATTTTATCATTGCATGTTTTAATGGGATGTAAATTTTCGTTTCAATATCGTTTATCATTTTATGATGTTCTGTAATTTCCTTTTCTAATCGTTTTTCAGTTACAAATCCGTAACTGTCATCTTCTTCTTCTGTTTTATTATCATTATCACTCAAAAACTCATCAATTATTTTAGTTTCCTGTTGTTCACTATAAGTTAAGAATTCATTGATAATTTCTTCCTGTTCAACCTCTGTAAATACAACCATTTGTATGATAATATATATAATTAATATTTCTTTAAACCCTTTTAGTCTAAAACTATAATTTCAACATTTCATGTCGCAATAGAGGTTTGGGAAAATCACTAACATGATATTACTTCTGACCCAATTTAGTTTCTATTTTGGTTATTGTATGGACTGTCCTTAACCAATGACTGGTTCTCTCTTTCTCGCTAATCGCTTTCTTTCTCATTATCTTGACTTTGTCCCCTACATCTAAATCAGGATACACACGGGTTCTTCTGGCATTCATTGATATATTCAGTTTCACCTGAAACTCATTTTTCTTTTTCCTTGCTTCTAATGGTGTCATTTTCGTAACGGAACTTACTAATTTATTATTATATGTCAATAATATTTCTAAATTGTAATCTATCCATTGTATATTGTTTTTACCTTTCTTTTCATCAGCATCAACTCTTTTAAAAAGCATATCCTTAAAGGTTCTAATAAATCTTTCTCCAAAAGCAGGGTGGCCTCTCGTGGTGTGTAATTCAATTTGTTCCTCATCAAGATAATCTGTAATGGTAGAACTAAACAAACTGCCTTCTTCGTCGCTGTATATCATTTTGGGTTTTCCGCCCATTTTCTTAATGCCTTCCATAATTCCTGCTAATACATCTGGCGGTTGCTTACTTGCAATAGGTATTACAGTAGCATATTTGCTAAATATATCAATTAATATTAATCCAATTCTAAACTTTTGATTTTCCAAATCATTTTTTGAAATAAAAAACAAATCTAACTGAAATTCCCAGAAGGCATGAGGAGCAACAAAACTATTCTGCCCTCGCATTTTCCTTTTTTCCTCAACATTATTTTTAAAGAATTCATTTACATCACTCATAGTAATAGTTTTATCTTTCTGTCTGGCATCTTTCAACGTTATTCCTTTACTGCCATAACCGCTTTTATCATAATAAATATCACTAATTATTTTTTGTTTATCCATATAATAAATTAAGATTTATTATATTGATAATATTATTTATAATTTAAATTCAAGATAATAAGTTAATTGATGATTATTAAATTGTGTATATATCTCACGTCTTTCATACATAATTTTAATAATAATATTGATATCTCTCACGGTATTTTTCACATTAAACTTGTTGCTTTCAATATATGATTTAATGTCTCCTTTTAAATCAGACCCGTCTTTCCTACGATTCAACAACATCCATAATATATGGTTAATCATTTCATACTTTTTCTTACCGATTTTGAGAAATATTCTAACATAACTATAAGGTGGTCTTTCATACACAGTTAAAAATATCAAAATTTCATCTTCAACATTTCTATTATTTCTTCTTTTCAGATTTAAATGACATCTGATTAATTCTTGATTATCTCTCCATTCCTGACAAATTTTACATTCATCTTCTTTACCCAAAGCATAATCAATAATATTATTAACTATTCCATTAGGTAAATTCATTTTGTATAATTCCATATGTTCTTTTTTGAAGTGGCAACAGTCATAGCATTTCTTATTGATATAATTATTTACTTCTTGTTCCTTCATTACTCTCTACTATATATAGGTATTATTTCTTTAAACCTTTTTTAGTCTAAAACTAAGATTTTATTATAAAAAAAATATTAAAATCTTAATGAGCTGAAACATTACAATATACACAGAATGAAGTTGAATTATCAATATGGTGAGCGATTGAATTATCAAGGCGCTGACAAGTAAAATTACTACATAATTTACCTTTCTGCGTTTCAAAGTTAAATGAAGTATTACACTTTTGGCATCTGGCGCGAAACTGTGATAAACACCATTCGGCAGTTATGTATTCTTCTTCATATTCTTCTTCAGTTATGTAGCATCAACCACAGGTTCAAATAACATAAATTCATCTTCTTCATTTGCTATGTTTTGTAATGTTATTTGTTTTCCTAATTCATCATCTTCTATATTTGTAATCCTGTATCTTAAATTGACATTTACCCTTAGTTGTTTAATCCATTTTCTGGCAATTAACATATCACCCACTACATATTTCTCACTTATGTCTAATCTGTCCCGGATTTCATTGGAGACAGACCGACACCTTAAATTAGTATAAGCAATGTTATGCTCTGATGCCATTATATCATCAGTGATTTCAAAATATTTGGGTACGATGTCATTTATTGGCAATGTATTTTCCCAAAAGTCAGCATACATATCATTAATTATTGCTCTGTTTTCTTTCTCCTTCTTCACTATCTCTTGCACCTACTCTTTTACAAATTGTTAAGAAGATGTTGTATTTAAAGATTGTATCCAAACAATTATCCATGTATGTCGCCGGGTCTTGGCAGTTGGTCATTACTTCCACTCCTTGTAATTGCTTAACATCGCCCGTAGCAACTACGATTTTATCCGGATTATTCTGAATAAATAACCTTACTTTATTCAACACATATAAATTTGACATATATATTTCGTCAAACACTATTACATCAAAAGGCGAATAATCATAAATTGGTAATTTCTCTCCGACATCTTCATGAACGGCAATGCTAAAAAAAATGTTATATGTTGTTGCTTCTACTTCTTTCTCTTGTAAAAGTCTATTTGTTGGAGCAACGAACAGAACATTATAATTCATTGTTTGGAAATATTCGCCTATATAACTCTTACCTGTGCCCTGCACTTTCCCTTTCACAAGGCATGGATTTTGTTTAATAACTTTTTTACAAATGCTTTCAGTATTCCATTCATCTTCAATAGAAATACTAATATTATTAATCTTCGGTATTTCAGGTAATTCATTAAACTTATACTTGTATGGTTGGGTTGGTAATGTTATAGTGTGCTTCTCTTCAAGTCTCCAGTCGCCTATCTCATCGCCAAATTTCAGCAGTCCTTCCCGCCATTTTCTCAAATAAGTATATCCATAAACTTTTTCCAAATCGTCTTTGTGGATAGTAAAACTGTCCGTTTTAACACTATACACTTTAATATTATTATCAGTGAATGTTTTATATGTTTCATACATTTTGAAATTGTGGTATTGTAAAAGCAGTTCTTTAATATACATAAATCCATTAGTCAATACTTTTTTATCTGAAACATTCAATACATAATATGTCATGCCTTCTGTATCCTTTACTCTCATTTCATCATCTTCTAATTCTTCTAATTCTGTTTGGTACTGACCGATTGTATAGATTTTACTGTTTGGATTCAACTTTTGATAATAACACGCCTCCCTCAATGAGTTAAATGTGCTACTTTTCTGTGATGTGTTATGCGATTTTTCCAGCATACCGATGCTTATGTTTGCTACTTTCTTTTGTAGTTGCTTATTTAAATCTTCATTGCTTGATATGTTTGTAGAATAGAGTTCATCAATTATTTTCTTGTATTTAACCTTATAAACATGATTAGGTTGTTTGTAATATAATATCTTCAACTTAATATCACGCTTTAACAACTGCTTTAAAAACTTACCGTAAATCAGATTATATTTCTTGTTGAAAAAAATGTTTCCTTCATAGACTTCTACAATGTATAAAGTTAAATCATTAAGACTATTAATATCG